AGAAGCTTAACATAATCTGACCAGAAAATACCAAGTGGTAAAAAGCTGCTCACCATCATTTGTCAATACAAGTACAGTGAGGCACAATCACAACCCTATCAAATCCAGGGCAACACAACGCCATATTCAGTCCAGTATATGGACAGACAGCACTGTCCTCCCTCTGGTGGTTAGGAAAGAATAGCAACTACCTTGCAGAACACCTGGTGGTTCTCTGTTAAAGTACCCTAGAGTCAGTCTCTCTTTTACTCAGAGGAGCTGAAAACTGAGTTCTACCAAAAGCCTGCACACAGATGTATATAGCAGCTTTATTCATAGGTGCCAGAGCTTGAGTAAAACCAAGATGTTATTTCAACAGGTAACGAGTGAGGGCTTAGGCACATCTACACTGAGTGATGCCGCCAGGACTCCATTCATGACACACTGGAAGAGATCTTAATGTTATTTTACCACGGGAAGGAAGCCAGACCCTTCAGGCGGCGGCCTACTACATGATGCCACTTAAAAGATTTTCTGGAGAAGACTTTAAAACTATAAAGGGTGAACCAGGCACCAGTGGATCACACCTGTAATCCTAGTGACTCAGGAGGCTGAAATCTGGAGGGTCACAGTTTGAAGCCAGCCTAGGCAGGAGAGTCCTTGAGACACTTGTTTCCAACTACCCAGCAAAAAGCCAGAAATGGTGCTGTGGCTTAGGTGGTAGAGTGCTAGCCTTGAGCAAAATCAAAATCTCAGGAACAGTACCTAGGCACTTACATGTACATACACACACACACACACACACACACACACACACACACACACACACCACCCCACTACCCCCACCCAAAAAAAAAAACTACACAGGTGGAGAGATGGGCCACATTTGTGCTGATGAAGCTGCTGTGATTTTATTTTCTAATTATTAAATTACTTTAGTGTTAAAAAATATTATGAGGCATATGAAGAAACACCCCATTCATTGAGTTGCGGAGGGAATGAAGGGATGAAGAAACTGTACCTGAGGAAACACAGATGGTGAACTTATTACGAAGTTTTTACTTTAATAGATTTATAGAGTTGAGAGGTATGGTCTTACTAGATAGCTCAAGTTAAGTTGCAACTACGTATCCAGGCTGGCCTCCAACTCATGTTTGGAAAATAAGCATGAGCTACCATTAGACAGAGACCTTAAATCAGTTGCTTTACATATGCTCAAAGAGCTAAAGGAAACCACAGATGATGAACTAAACATGTGAAAAACTTACCACCAAATAGAAAATAACAAAAAGTAAAAGTTATGAACCTAAAGAGTGAAAAATTCACTAGAACATTTCAACAGCAAATTTTATCACACATGTGAATTCTATCAGTAAATTTTAGCATAGGTGAAATGAAATTATCTAGTCTAAGGAAACAAAGTGAGCAAAATGAAGACATCATCCAGTTTACCTAATAGTATATATTTTGGGAGTCCCAGAAAAAAAGAATAATGTGCATTTCTATACTCCCCAAATTTCATAGAAAACATGAATAGTCTAAGATATTCAATGATGTCTTAATAGGAGATACTATCATCAAAGCATCAAGAGCTGAAGATAAATAGAGACTCTTGAAAGTAGTAAGAGCAAAAGTACTAAGATTTATAACATACAAGGAGGGATCATCAGTCATCTTAACTTCCATTTCTCATTAGAAATCATGGTGAATAACTTATAAGCCAGGTATGGTGGCTCAGGAGGCCGAAGTGGGACAATCATGTAAGCCTAGATGTTTGAGACAAACTTTGATAACATAGTGAGACTTCATCTAACAACAAAAAATAAATTAAAAAAATAAAAGAAACCTGTTTTCAACAAAACATTCCATTAAGAAAAAAAAAAGAACAGGGGATGAGGGTAAAACAGTACATTAAAAGCATCTACCATTTTGACTCCATAAAGGGAACAGTCAAATTAGAGAGGAGAGACTATATTATATTCTGAAGAGAAAAAGAGAAAAAAAACTATCAGGAATCACAAAGAGGTAGCAAAGTAATAGAAAAGCACAGAAGAACAGACAACAGTGAAAAGTAGCAGCTACTTCCAAGCTCTGTCCCAAGGGGAAGGAGAATCGAAACATGCATTCACAGGTAAACCAAATGGCACTAGTAACAGACTAGAAATTCTAGTTCCAAGACAAACTGACACTTCCTAAAAGCTTTATACCCAGAAGATTTGGAAAGCCAGTGACTACTCTGGTAAGGAAAACTGTTCTCTGGTAGATAGAGACTGTCTCTCCCTTAACCATACCATTTTGAGGGTCTACTATTTGAGATTAAGACACTCTGTGGGCTTGAAAACAAGGAATAGTCACAGTTCAAGGAATTTTGGGAATAACAGTCTTCCATACTTGTCTAGATAAGAGGCAGTCACAAGAAGTGATTGTGGAGACAGAGGAAGTCTAATGTGGTGCCACATAAATATTCAGGCAATGGGAAATATCCAACAGCAAAAGGGTACAGTGGGTTGGAGACCCTTCTCAGCAAGGTATGAGTCCTATCTTGAGGCTTGTAGTAGAAACAAATACTATAGTTGCATACAGAATTTGGCCTCTGGAACCTGTGTCCTAGGCTTCATGTGTTGACAACTCAGTCAGTTCCCTGTGAATTATGTGAAAGCCACAGCTTCCCCCTCTCCCACCAGGAAAGTAAACTGTTTGACAGGGTCTGAACATACTAAGGCATGCTTTCCTGAATATAATGAAACATGCTCCTGGGAACTACATCCCATCATGTACTTGCAGCTAGGTGATTGGGGGTAAAGTATGCAAAACATAAAGAAAACATCACGACTGGAAAAGGAAGTCCTTTTCTATGTGCATTACTTTAAAAAATAAATTGGTTATGGTCTCTAATGAAAAGACAGAGATAACAGAATGAATCCCAAAACACAGCCACTCGTGTCACTTTAGACTTAAAGACATGGAATTTCAAAGTAAAACCATAGAAAAGTAGTACCAGACAAACAGTACCCTATCCTAAAGACAAAACAATTTCAATTTAAACATGGTTATAAGAGTCAATGGAGGAAATTTTACTAAAAGGCCAATCCAAGAAGACATAACACTTATGAACACACATGCACCTGACAATAGAGCCTTACAATGACAGAACTGAATGGAGACAGACAGTTCCACAGTAACCACTGGCAATTTCAATACTTCCCCCTTTCTGACAGGATGATATTATGTAACCTGTCCTCAAAGTAGGTAACCAAAGCTAATCCTGAACTCAATAACCTCCTGCCTCTGCTCCTTATTGCTCGGATTGCAAGCATGTACCATCACACTTAGCAAATATTACACTTTCAATATGGATTAAAAAAAAAAACTAGAAAGACCAATAAGAGCAGTAAGAACAGAAAGCTTGTCCAACTCTGATCAACTAGTCCTAAAACTAGTCCTAAAACATATTCAGAACATATCACAAGTTACCAAACAATTTCTTTTATGAATATAGATGTAAAAAGCCGTCTTCAAAATTCAAACAAACCAAATGTAGCAGCTTAGGAAAAAGATTATGGCATGACCAATTGGGAATTTTCCCAAGAATGCAAGCATTCAACATGGTTCAACATATGCTTATCAATAAAGATATACTAAAATAATAGAAAAGGGGAGGGGAGAACCCAGCTGATCATCTCAATAGAAGCTAAAGCATTTGGCGAAACCCAAAATTCCTTCATAATAAAAATCATCAAAACAGAAAAAAAGGAATATTCTCAGCATGACACACTTCATATGAAAAATTCAGTTAACATCTATCTTGCCCACCCTTCTCTCTTGTCTCTTTCATAATGTTTTTCTCAATGGTGAAAGATAGGTAATGTTCCTCCTGAAATCATGAAAAAAAAGATACCTTTTTTGCCACTGTTATCATTAGATTTAACAATGATTTTGTGTGTGTGTGTGTTGGTACTAGAACTTAAATTCAGTGCCTGAGCACTATCCCTGAGCTTTTTTGTTTTGGCTAAAGCTCTGTCACTTGAGCCACAGCTCTACTTCCACCCTTTTTTTAGTAGTTAATTGGAAACAAGAGTCTCATTTTCTTGAGGCTGTGAACCTCAATCCTCAGACCTCAACCTTTTGAGTAGCCAGCATGAATGAATTTTTTAAGTAGCATAGGAAACAAACAACAAACAAAAAAAAACGGTATGTTAAACCACATCAAAATTTAAAATTGCTGGGTTCCAGTGGCTCATGCCTGCAATTCTAAACTACTCAGGAGGCTAAGATCTGAGAATCACTGGCAGCAAAGTCCATGAGAGTCTTATCTCTAATTAACTACTAAAACCTAAGCTGTGGCTCAACTGGTAGAGCCACCAACCTTAAAGAAAAAAAACTCAGGGACAGCAATCAGGCCCTGAGTTCTAGCCCCAATATTAGTAAACACATACGTACACGTACACATACATACATACATACATACACATACACATACATACACACACACAGCAAAGTTATCTCCCTCCTGGCTTCAACTCATCTTTTCATCCTTTAGTAAGTTTATTTTTAATAAACCATGATGTAGCTTACCCCAGCTTCAATTTTTCTATCATCCCAAATTTTGATTTACTTTTAAAACTTCATATTGTATTATTTATGTTGTGTTTTTGTGTGATTATAGGCACTTCAAATATTTCTTCAAAGACAGGATGAGTAGAAAAATAAACAAAAACCAGGTAATGCTGTTCAGAATAGATGTTATTCTGAACTTCAACCTCCCATGTCAAGAGTGTACTCTGTAGATAATGAAAGCCCCCTCTCATCCAGAGGGAAATTGGTAAATGAGTGTTGATGAAAAGAATGACAACTCACTGTACTACACTTTCTCACTCTTTTCCATTTAGTAAGAAATGTTATAGCGCGGAAAAGGGCAAATGGCTTTTTTTTCACCTGTATGCAGAGATTAACTATTTAGAAGTCCATGAACAAGGCAGTCAGATGCAATTTGCAGCCAGATGCAATTTGTAGCCATGTACCTGGATGTGCTTCCTTCTGGTGTGCTCAGAAGTCATTTGGGGATGACTTATGTTCAATGCTTTCTTGGTATGCTTGCAACGCTTCTCAAGGTATCTCCTCTGTTGGTTGGTGATGCTGCTATATAACTTAATTTGCCTGGGTGACAAACATACTCTTTCATGGCCAAAAGCTTGAATCAGTCTTGCAGTGTCAATTGTGGAAATGGAGCTACTTCTTTCATGCAAAGTAACCTCTCTGTCTGTTTGGGTTAATATATCTGAGTCACGAGGAGAAGTGGTGGTAGAAAGAATGTTGGTGGTAGTATCTGTGAGTAGCTCACTTTCCTCTGAAGGCCTAGAATCTGAAGAAGTGTTGCTGATATAATTTAAATAGGGTTGTTTTTTCAGAATATATTTATCAAATTTAATCTGTTCAATCTTAATCTGATTAGACTTCCCAGTTTGATGAGAAGCTACCTTGCTTTTTTTAAGATCACCTATGTTTTTATGGCCTTTTTCTAGACTTCTATAGCGCTTCTGCTTCTGAAGTTTTTTTTTCTGCTGTTTATTATTCCATTCCTTAAAGTCTCGTTCCCCTCTGCTATCATCTAGTGTACTTTCTGAGACCTGAAGAGAATGTGTGATGGGATTCTGAAGAAGTTTAGCCAGGCGATCAAGACGCTCTATCAAAGACAGTTCTTTCTTGTCACTGACATCAAGTGGTTTCTGTTGCTTCTGTCGCTCCTGGTACTTGTTCCAAAGTTCATTCAAACTTGTAGTGGGTTGTGTTGTTAGTTCTGTGGTAACTTTATGGTCCTTTTTTGGATCATTTATTTGTCTTTTATTTTTCAGATTATCTCTGGCCTGACTTTTAGAAGCATGTGCCTCTTCATTGTCTCCCAAATTCATATTGATGCTGAGGCTCTTTCCTCTGGAGTAATCCATCTTAGTCTTGTCCACACTTTGATAAGAAAGAGGAAGACAAGTCGGCTCTCTAAGTTTGTTTGAATGATGCTGAAAGAAATCTTTCCAAGAATGCCTCATAAGAGTACTCTTTCCCAAAGACTCATGACAAAAGTCTTGATCATTTGGTAGATGCACTGGATGATGAAAGTAAAATTTGGCTGATCTGAAGACAGAATGAGTAGTATTTTCAAATTCTGAATGACACTTGGATTCTGTAAGAAAAAAAGATTGAATAAACTTAGGACTATTTTCATTCCCTTCAGAGAACTGTTTGTTGAATTCCTTAGGTATAAGACAAAAACTGAAAAACTTACATAAAGTTTCAGAAAATTCATTCTTATCAGATACTTACTGTACTTAGCAATCAGACTGGAAAGGATCAAAATATCTCGATTCTGAGTTGAACTATGCTATTATATGACAGAGCTATGTGACTTAAAGTCACATAAAGAACTTTAGTCTACAGATAAGCTTAGCTGCTGATTTACTCACTACTTACTATTATACATAGTGTTATTACATGTATTCTATTTTGTTTTTAAAAAAATTCACCCTATTAATAAAATTGAAATGGTTATGGGTAACCCAATTTTCAGCTGAAAAACTAAAGACTTTATTTTCATCAGTCATTAAATGGATGAAATAAAAAATATTTTTATAAATTTTTAAAGCCTTTGAATAGTTCTTTACTATGAACTATCTCCATTTATTTTCTCAAGACTTTGTTATGGTCAAATATGCATGGCATAAAAGTTACAATCTTCCAGCCTCATTATTTTTTCTTCTTCTTCTTTCTTCTTGTTCTTGTTCTTCTTCTTCTTCTTTTATTATTCTACAACAAATAGTCATTTGGAAATGCAATAGTATTTTACAACCCATTATAGTTTCAATACTTGTGCTCTCTGAAATTCATATTACAATTTAATCCCCTAGGCTATCGTAGTAAGAGATGTTGCCTTAAGTAGGTGATTAGGTTAAGATGGCTCCACCTTCTTGAGTGGGATCAATACCTTTTAAAAAGGACTTAAAGAAGCCATCTACTATGTGAGGGCATAACCTTTTTCCTTGAGACAACAAAGCACTGAGGTGTCATCTTAGAAATAGACTAGGCTCATATTAGACACCAGATCTGCCAACACCTTGAACCTGGACTCCTCAATTTCCATAACTGTGAGAAATAATTTTTTATGACAGCAGGATTGGATGGATTAATACTAAATTAAATACACTAGAGCCTACTTCATCTCCTTTGGTTCTTTTATCTATTATATTTCTCATATATTTAGGTCATCCCTCTTTACTGAACCTTTTCCAATTACAACTTTTAGTACATAATAATTTCAGAAAACCTTCATATCCTTTCAAGTATTAGCCCACTACTCTGCTTCTTTTCACAGTCAAGCTGCTAAGTAGAATAGATATTTTTTTTAAAATCTCTTTATCCCAATTTTCTCTTCAAATTACTCTCCTAAAAGGAGCTATACCACTAGACTAAAACTACTCTACTAAGATCAATGAACCTCCATATGCAATTAACACTAGATTATTTTTACATATCTCAAGACTTCTAGAATCAAAATATAAAACATAGAAAAATTTTTCCTCTTCTTGAATATGATTTTTCAGGCTATATTGTTCATTTTTCTTTTCTTTATTGTTTTGGTCCAAGACCAGGACTCAAACTCAGCACCTGACACTTTCATTCACTAGCTGGCACTCTATCAACTGAGTCACACCTCCAACTCTTGTTTTTCTTTCACAAGCTGTGTCACACTATCCCCTACAGAGCTGCAATATTTTGATTCTTCATTTCATTTTTTGTGTATGGTTAAAAAAAAGTCTCTTTACAGAAGTAGCAATTATTTTACAAACTAATATATATGTCCACATAGATAACACAGCATTAAAATGCTGTTTAAAAAAAGGAAAAAAAATCAAAAAACCAAAAACGAACAAAAAGCCTTTGTTTAAAGCATGAAGCTATAGCCTCATCAAAAGAAAGAAAGAAAGAGACAGAGAGAAAGAGAGACAGAGGAGAGAGAGAGACAGAGACAGAGAGAGAGAAAGAAAGAGAGACAGAGAGAAAGAGAGACAGAGGAGAGAGAGAGACAGAGACAGAGAGAGAGAAAGAAAGAAAGAAACAAACAAACAAACAAACCAACCAGTCCTCATACATACTGGCACACACATCCCAATCCCATTACCTGAAATATCTATTTGTAAGGATTCTTTCTCTTTCGGCCTGGTTTCCTTACAAACAGTCCTTTTAATATGGATTTCCTCTTTCTGTTCAAAGGCTTTAGTTTCTGGTAGGTTCTCAATCTTCTTGTCTTGTATTTGAGCTGAGTCCTCAGCAGTATTTGTCTCACTAGAATCTAAGAGAGGAAACAACACATTAATAAAGACTAGATGGTAACAAAAATAGTAAAATGCTTCTACTATGTCAAAAGTATTGTTACTGGTATGGAAAAATAAATAATGTGTTCAATCACGAAAGACCAATAAATACATTTTAAAAATTCAACATTGTTAGTCACCAGGAAAAAGCAAATCAAAATAGTACTGAGATTCCATAAAATAGCAATAAAATGTTGATGAGGATATGGATCAGAGGGGGAGGAATCTTTCCTTATATACTCTTGGTGGGAATGGATAATGAATGCAAATAAATAATGGATGCAAATCAATTTTTTGGAGTTGCCTTTAAATAAAAAGCAACAGAGAACTACATGATCCTATTTCTAGGTATTCACCAAAAGGAATATAAATCATACTCCAGCAACAACTCTAGTCTCAACAGGCAAACTATGGAATCAACTAGGGAGCCCATCAACACATGAACAAATAATCAAAATATGGTATATGTACACAAAGGAGTTTTATTCAGCCATAAAAAAATATGTAGCTTTGTGTGATCTCACTCTGTGACCAAGTCTGGCCAGTAGGATGGAATGATATATGCAAATAAGTGGAATGATATATGCAAATTCTGAAAAAATCCTTAAAAATAAATATGCTTTTGTAATACTATAGCTAATAACTACCATTTGATAATGAAAGCCAAAAATGTTTAGGCAACAGAAGAAAAAGAATATTGTTCCCTGCTACACTGCCAACCTTGAAGAATGTCTGTCTGAGTTTTTATAAGACAGATATGTTCCTGTTCCCTCCCTCCCTCCTTGCTTCCAGCCGGATCTGGAAGCAGTCTCTGAACTCTACCATTTTGAGCCACAGTTCCACTTCTAGTTTTCTAGTGGTTAATTGGACATAAGAGTCCCATGCACTTTCCTGACCAGGTTGGCAGGATCCTCAGATCCAGCCTCCTAAATAGCCATGATTACTGGCTCCTGGCATGCTTCTGTTTCTTCATGCTCATGTTTTATTTTTGTTTTCATCTCAAAGTAATTCTAATTTAAATATACTATCATGGGAATTTTTAATCAACATAATCCTGCTAAAGTAAAACAAAGAGCTAGTTAATAGTAAATAAATTAAATTCCTATAGCTGAGGTATAATAGTTATTAGAGTATCCATATCTTGTAGTATCAAATTTATTTTATCAGTAAAGAGAAAAAGTTCACTAAGCACATTTCTGACAATAAGATTAACATGTTTCATATTCAAAAGTTCTCCAGGAATATCCCGTTCAGTTACCTTCAGTGTCTTTCTGCAAACATTCACTTCCTTCAGGCCAGGCAATCTTAGTCACAACCCTTTGACTAAATATCTCTTCTTTATGTTTACCTGAGAGAATCTCTGGCACTTGAATTGGAGCTTCTGGAATAATGACATATTAGATCCCATAGAGAAGGAAAATATAATAGATACAATATGCAATATGTCTTCACCCTCATAAAATCTCAAGCCCTTTCTAAGTTAGGAAAAATACACTTCAGCAGGCTTTATTATATAAAACCATGACATGAATTGGGAAGTTTTCCATATTTTTCTAGGTATAACAAGTTATATAAAAATTTTTCTCATAGTTTGATGCAAAAGTAAAAACAAATAAAAGATCAGGTTGTTTTCTCAAAGTGAAAAGTAGACAAACACTTTCTGGCCTTAAAAAAACAATCTGTTGTCATTTATGGAGCCAATTTTGGTATTTCACTTAAAGAAAACACCTCATCTAGATTTCATTTATAGAATTTTCATATAATTTTTTAAAATTTCATGTAGTTATGTTATTTTCAATTTGTCTAAAATATTTCTCTTTCTTCTTGGTCACACTTCATTTTTTTATCTCTATGCTTATTTCTTAACAAAGAAATCAAAAAGACAACAGAGATTACGAAAGCCAAAGAATCAGTCTAAATTTTACTTATCATGCTCTTTTCTTTTAAATTCATTGTGCTTTCCTATTCAATATGACTTCAATACTGCTAATCTATTTGGTCTAAATGTATTCTGAAATATTTAGAACACTTCGCTAAATATTAATAAAACATTTCGGGCATACCAAAGATATAAATAACATAATAAACATGAAAGTATTAACAACTAAACTTAATAAAACATTACAGACATATGCCATCAATAATGCCACTTTCTCTTCTCAAATCTTATATTGAATTTAGAGCTTATCAATCTCAAGGATGCTTATTAACTTTTATAGATTGCAATAATACTAACCAATTAATAATTGTTAATAAGGTATAATATTTAAATGAATTTCCTATAAAAGGTTCAATATCGTATTCAATGCTGATGATTTAGATTTAGCCAAATCAATATGTGACTCTGATTTTCAGTGTTATTTTACTATATTGTTATTCTATTATTTTATTACCATATCATCTCACCATATCATCAACACAAGGTTGTTTCCCAAGTTTTTTACATTAAAAAGCATTACAATGTAGTCTTATAAAATTGGTTGTATGATTGCAAATATTCTTTAAGTCTGGTAGGTTGGTTTTGTTTTTTGTTTTGTCAGTCATGGGGCTTGAACTCAGGGGCCTGGGCATGGGCACTGTCCCTGAGCTTTTGTGCACTCAAGGATAGCACTGTACCACGTTGAGCCATTACACCACTTCTGGTTTTCTGGTGGTTACTGGAGGTAAAAGTCTCAAGAACTTTCTTGCCCTATCTGGCTTTGAACCCTAATCCTCAGATTTCAGCTTCCTTCTCAGCTAGGATTACAGGCATAAACCACCAGCACCTAACCCTCAGTCTGTTTTATCTGTTACAATTTATGTCTTTTATGCATAAAAGTTTTCATTTTAACAATGAAATGTTGTGTTTTTTCTCTCTAGGGTCTTATGTTTTGTCTTGCTTAAGATATCGTTAATTTTCTTTCAGGTGACTGTTTCTAACACATTTATAAGATTATTTTTTTGTTGCTTTGTATGTTCCTCCCCCATGGTATAACCCCTGCTTTCACTGTATTTGAGGTTGGTATAATTTGTGGAGGGGAAGGCAAAAAACAAATCGTTTAAATAGGGAAACAGGTGGATCCATTGCAACAATGAGATGTACAAGTCGTTATATGGAAAAACAAACTTTACAACTATGGTTGGGGGGGGAGGATTGGGGGGGCAGAATGGGAAGGGATGGGAAGGGGAAACAAAGGAGGAGGCTACAATGCTTGATAAGAAATGTACTTATTATCTTGTCCATGTAATTGTAACCCCTCTGTACAGTATTTTCACAATAAAAAAATAAATAAATAAGATATTGTTAATTACCCATGGTCATAAAGATAAACTATCTAAATTCTAAAAAGTTTAAGTTTTCCTTTTTACACTGAATATGCCTGGAATACATTTTTGTTCATCATGAAGTTGGGATTTGATCGCTGTCCAAGCTCTAAAGAATAGCTTATCTTCATTTCTTCATACATTGTTCTGCCCTCTCTGTATATAGTAAACTTCTACATTCATGAATGTATTTTAGGGTCCCCTTGTTTCACTTTTCTGTTTACTCTTTAAGAAATGATACTTTAAATAAGCTACATACAGAATAAGTTTTGATGTCTGACATAGTAATTCCCTTACCTTATCACTTCCACATATTTTTCAATTTCCCATAAAAGTTACACTATCTACTTGGCAAATTCCGTGTAATAGTCTACTGGAAGGAGCCACTGGTGCCCAGTTCTTTTTAAAGGATTAGATTAATATCTTACTTTCTTCTATATGCCCAATATAATATCAAGAAAAAAGAGCACATAATGAATCAGTAAAAGGTTAAAGACTATACAATATTCTCACCTAAATGAAAAGGGGGAACAGGTCACAGAATACACAAAGTGTCATTACCTGCATCACCTTTCTGAAAGGGCTTTTTTCCAACCAAGAAGGATGCCTTAGTTACTGCTCTTTTACTGTAGATCCCTTCTTCATGTTTAATATTTACGGTGTCTGGGGGGTTATCATCCCTTGTGCCTAGCACTTGAGCTGGAAAGTCTGGAGCAATAGCATCATTGGATCCTATAGGGGAAAAAAATAAACACTAACACAGACTTCAAGTTGAGAAAGAAGTCTAAACAAATTGCCTCTCAGAGAACATCTATGAAAGAAGCACTGTGACAGGAGTGTTACAGAGTAAATTAGGCTATGTAAACCAAACTAAAGCTATCAGACATTTGGAATAAATGCCAGCAAAGAAGCAAATGACATCAAGACATAAAAAGTGAAGCATTATTTTCAGGAAGAAGACTACTTCCAGCATTCCAAAAAGTTTTTGAAGGAAGAAGAAAATAGATTATACTTTGAGGATTGAGAAATAGGCTTTTCTGGTCTGAGGAGAAAGGTAGAAAGGCATGAGAACTTGCCTAAAAATAATTAAAGCAAAAAAGGGTTGGAGTCTAGAAAGTATGAAGCCCCAAGTGAAAAGTTCAATATCACCCCCTTCTCAAAAAAAAAAAAAAAATCTGTAGTAACTGTAGAACTGTCTTTTACAAAATAGATTTTCTTTTCAAATGCAGGATTCCTTGTATTATAGGAATCTGATTTGTAATATAACCACAACAGATATTTTGTTCACCTTTCATAAATCTGCTTCTTCCTTAACCACCTTTTTAACAAAAGGCACTTCTACTCATCCAGTTTCTCACTCTAGAAAACTAAAGATCATTTTTCACACACCCTTATCCTTTTTCTTTCCATATGCTATCACCATATGCTATTTCCAAACTAAAAGATAATTCTATTAGTTACATCACTTTAACCCTAAAAGCTTCCACCTCTGCTACTGATGAGTGAAACAGCCTTCTAATCAACATGACTTACTTTATCTTTCTTTACACTGACTCTCACTTTTCATCAACAAGTCATGTCACCACACAGGCAGAATCAATCTTACAAGTATAAATAAAATTGCACTTGCTTCTTAAAGTCCAAATGCTTTAATATAGTTTACATGCCTGTGCATGATTTTATATCTATCTTTAAACCATATTCACCCACTATTCTAACATTACCCTGCTAAACACATCTTATTGGAGGGTCACTGTTTTGGACTAAGCTCATGCAAAAGAACAGACCAAAATGGAGTCACTTGTGTTAAGCGCCATGCAATCAAACCAAAACTTCAAACAGGAAAATATTCCTAAATAGACCCATTTTCCATTAAAAGTGAGGTTTGCAGCAACCAATTGAAAAAGACCATTTTAACAAAATGGGAAAAAAAATTAAGCCTTTTCTTTAATCCTTACAAGGAAGTAACATGGGAATCAAACTGGTGGGGGGGGGGTATTATTATTTCCTTGTTCTTGTTATCTTATTAAAACCAACTAATTTGCCAACAATCAATTATTTAGCAATCAATTATGCAGTGGGTTACTGCCTGATTCAGGGTATTTAATAAAAGCCAATTTGATTTTTAAACTAAAGTCTGAACTTAGGGCCTCTACCACTTGAGCCATATCCCCTAAGCCTTTTGGCCTAAGTTATCTTTCAGATAGGATCTTGCACTTTTGTCCATGAAAAATCATAGCTCCTCTACTTCTGGCTTGTGTTTTTGGTGATTAATTGGACATAAGTCTCACGGACTTTCCTGCATAGTTGGCTCTGAACTGTAATACTAAGGATCTCAGCCTCTTGGTAGCTAAGATTACAAGGCATGAGTCACCAGCACCCCATCACATTGAAGGCAAATGGCTTCTGGGTTTGAGGCACAGTGGTCAGAACACATCTTGCCTCCATTCTTTGCCCTCATCCTCTATATTTCAGCTTAAAAGTTACCTCCCAGAAAAGGAGAAAATAGACTGCACCTTGGGGGTTGAGGATCTCCTAAAACTGAAGGGGTCCCCTTGTTTTGCTCACAGAACTCTTCCTTAACACTTACTATTTGTAATTATGGACTTATGGTTTGTTTGATGACTATCTCTCTTCTTGAATTTAAACTCTATCTTAGGAGGGGCCATGTGTAACTCTGTACACCCCTTGTAAATGTAGCACCTATAAATCTGCTTGGAACCTATTAACAATTTTTGGGGGGGTCCGGTTGTGGGGCCTGAATTCTGAGCCTGGGCACTGTCCCTCAGCTCTTCAGCTCAAGGCTAGCGCTCTACCATTTGATTCACAGCACCACTTCCGGCTTTTTTTTTCTGCTTATGTGGTGCTGAGGAATCGAACCCAGGGCCTCATGCTTGCAAGGCAAGCACTCTACCACTGAGCCACCTTCCCAGCCCACAACTTTTTTTTTAATCTTTTTTTTTGGGGGGGGGGTCAGTCGTGGGCCTTTAACTCTGGGCCTGAGCGCTGTCCCTCAGCTCTTCAGCTCAAGACTAGAGCTCTACCACTTGAGCTACAGTGCCACTTCTGGTTTTCTGGTGGTTTATTGGAGATAAGAGTTTCAAGGACTTTCCTGTCTGGGCTGGATTTGAACAGCAATTCTCAGATCTCAGCCTCCTGAGTAGCTAGGATTACAGGTGTGAGCCACCGGCGCCCAACCAAAAAAAAAAGCAAATGAATATTAGCTGATAGCTTCCTTCATTAAAAAGTATAATCTGCCGGGCGCTGGTGGCTCACGCCTGTAATCCTAGCTACTCAGGAGGCTGAGATCTGAGGATCGCGGTTCAAAGCCAGCCCGGGCAGGAGAGACCGTGAGACTCCTATCTCCAATAAACCACCAGAAAACCAGAAGTGGCACTGTAGCTCAAGTGGTAGAGCGCTCGCCTTGAGCTGAAGAGCTGAGGGACAGCGCCCAGGCCCAGAGTTCAAGCCCCACGACCGACAAAAAAAAAAAAGTATAATCTAAACAGGGCACCAGTTTAGAGACTCATGTCTTTAATCCTAGCTACTCGAGAGGCTGAGATCTGGTTCAAAGCCAGTCCAGGCCGGAAAGTCTATGAGACTGTTTTCTCCAATTAATCATCAGAAAACCAGACATGGTACTGTGGCTCAAAGTGGTAGAGCACCAGCCTTGAGCAAAAGAGCTCAGGGACAGCACCTAAGCCCCAAGTTCAAGCCCTGAGACCTACTAAAAAAAAAAAAAAAAAAAAAAGATTTTCAGCGAGGTGCTTATAATCCTAGCTTGAGCTAAAGAGCTCAGGGACAGGGCCCAGACCCAAATTTCAAGCCCCATGACCAACAACAACCAAAACAAAACAAAACAAAAGTTACACATATATATTATACGTAATTTTATATATATAGTCTTGCTTAAAAAACAGAAAAACATGAAAAAACAATGTGAAAAAACAAACTTGAATGTGTACTGGAATCAGCTCACATACAGTTTCATATTTTTTCCCATGACATAAGACACCATATCACTGAGTAATTTTCTTCCCCATCTCCCACCACAATGTTACATTTTTAGGTTAATGTCTTCAACTAGATGGAAATCTCAGAAATGTACACAAATAGCAGGACACTAGAACTGTTCACAAAGTACTGGGATACTTGACTAGATTTCTATTATCTATAGATATTCTGTCAGTGAAACAAATGTCTTTACAACTAAGAGTGGGAAAGACCAAAGAATTTCCTATTGGCAATAAATTAAGTGAGCCTGTTTCACTTCTGGAAAGTATGCATTTAAAAATCAGTCAGCCAGGAGTTGGTGGCTCACAACTGTAATCCTAGCAACTTAGGAGGCAAAGATCTGAGAATCACAATTGAAAGCAAGCCCAGGTAAGCAAAGTACATGAGGTTCTTACCTCCAACCAAACACCAAAAAGTCTTAAGTGGATCTGCCATTCAAGTGACAGAGTACCATTTGAATAAAATGCTAAGGAGACGGTGTCCAAGACCTGAGTTCAAGCCCAACTACTAGTGCATGTGTGTGCCCCACCACACACAAAATCTTTCTTTTTTTAAAATTTTATTGTCAAGGTGATGTACAGAGGGGGTTTACAGTTACACAGTAAGGTAGTGAGCATATTTCTTGTTGAACTTGTTACCCCTTCCCTCATTTTTCTCTTTCCCTACTCCCATACCCCTGCAAGTTGTACAGATCATTTCCAACCAGTGTCTTGTATCACTGTTGTATTGATTCCCCCTTTGTTCTCTGTCTCAATTTTTTGTTCCTCTTCCCTTCCCTAATTCAAACAAACAAACAAACATATATATATATATATATATATATATATATATATATAATACAATACCTAGAGTACTTCAGTAGAAGAATGATAAAGAAAATGTGATATATATATATGTATATATATATACACACACACACACATATATATACATATACCTACATACAATGGAATTCTATGTTTCCATCAGAAAGAATGACACTGCCCCATTTATAAGGAAATGGAGGGCAGGGGGAGGATGGGAAGGGATGGGAAGGGGAAACAAAGCAGGAGGCTATAATGCTTGATAAAAAATGTACTCATTATCTTGCCCATGTAATTGTAACCCCTCTGTACAGTATTTTCACAATTTAAAAAAAAAAAAAAGGAAATGGAGGGACTTGGGGGAAAAAAATCATATTAAGTGAAGTAAGCCAGACCCAAAGACCCATGGCTTCTCTTATTTGTAATAATTAGTATACGTCTAGGACAATCTTAGCAGATAAGCAGAATAGCTCAATAGCTAAGTACATAACCATATAGGATGATGCTAAGTGAAATGAACTCCAAGATATGGACACAGACATTTTCCTTTGTTGTGTTGTTGTTGTTAATGTACTACGGGATTTCTTTTTTCTTTTGTGTTTTCCCCCTATGGTTTATCCCCTGTTGTCACAAAATCTTTCAAGGAATGAAAACATCCTGAATTCTGGTTATAGACCCAATATGCACACTTGATGAGCATTTTTGTGGTTCATTTATCTCTATCAATCAGAAAATTAAGAGGTTATATCAAAGACTTTAATACAGCTACTATTAGAAATTACTTGGTCCTCAGTTAAAATTGTTTTAAGAAATGAGGGCATAAGGGAGACAGAATAGGAAAGAGTACATCACATACATATATATAACTAATAAATGCTAATGAAAAATCTTTTAAAAAGAAAGAAACTACTTGGTCTCTTAGAAAAACAAAAAAAAATCTGCCTACTACTAAAGTCAACTTCTCTTTTTCATGAAAACACACACACACACACACACACACACACACACACACGGACAATGAAGAAAGCTATTTGTCAAAGTAAACTAAATATCTCCTATACACCATTCAAAATGTTATCCCCTCAAATCAAACCATCACACCACACCAATTCGCTATACTTCAAAACAAAACAAAGCTAAGCCAAGTCAAGCAAAATAAAATAAAAATAAACAAAACACATGTCACAGATAGCACCTATTGAGCTCTTTCCACTTTGTGGTTTGCCAGTGAAGAAGTCAAAGGATGATGCTGAAAGCTATTTTAACCTTCCAGGGAAACAGTGATATTCAGTACCAGATGTATTCCATGAACAGTAAGTTCCAGGCAGTTCAAAATTTCAACATTGGATAGTGTTCTGTTCTTTTCAATGCTGTTAAATCTTTGAAACAGAAGATTTTATGTTGTTGCTATTATAAAAAACAAAAAATTGGAATGGCTGTGACTAATTTCATCTGAAACAGGAAGAAGTGGTATAATGCCCAATGGCTGCACATAAGCCATCTGTTCGTAACTGCATTTCCAACTTACTTATTCCAACATATTTTTTATGAACTATTTTCTTTCAAAAACCAAAGCCAAAAATAAAAGTTCTGTTTGCTAAGTTATTAGATCAAAACAGAATTTCTCTGTATCCAGAACCTGCTTAAAAAGAACTCTACATGCATTATATGCAGATTGAGAAAAAAATAGAAATATTAAAGACACTATGAACCAAGAAAGCTTAGAAACTTTTTCCCTAGATGGAGTCCACTAATTGAAACAATTGACCATATAATTTTCACCAAATACTACATGCTTAATGGTATACAGCATATATGATTACTCACTACCTATCTGAATCAGATCAAGACATGAAAAGCTTTATATTTCACAGAGTTTAAAGATCCCGAAACTTTCACTTAACATTTTGTGATCAAAATGGTAAGTCAACACAAAATTTCAAACAATAAGATTTTTAATAATTTCTGCATTAATACCTGAATGTGAGCTCTCAAGGGTAGTGTCTGATGATTTGCAATCTGGAAATGAAGGAATTGCTTCTAATTGTGGAACATAGTACATCTTCTGACTACCAGCTGGCTTGTATGGCAAAAGTACAGGCTGAGCTAAGGGGGTAAAGATCAAAACAATTCATAAGGCAGCTGTTAATTTATTGATTACATACTGAATAACATCATGTGCCAGGAAATGTTTACATTTCTCAGGGCACATAAATGAACTCAATTGAAATCTACCTTTGCTTTTAAGAGGAACCGGAATGCTAGAGGCAGAAGATATACAACACAGCAATAAACAAGCAAATTAGATGTTATTGTAATAAATTATAAATGGCATACTAAAAACAAACAAACAAACAAAATACTGTAAAAGATTAGGAATACAGGAGAAATCCCAGCAGATGGCAATTAAATTGGATGGTAGGAATAGGTTTCATTGAGAAGATGAGTTTTTTGGTTTGTTTTGTTTTGTTTCTTTTTTTTTTTTGAGGAGGGTGATACAGTCTTAGGGCTTAAACTCAGAACCTGGGCACTGTCCCTGAGCTTTTGTGCTCAAGGTTAGTGCTCTATCACTTGAACAAAGTGTCTTACAGACTTTCCTGCCTAGGCTGGCTTCAAACCACAATCCAGCAATCTCAGCCTCCCCAGTAGCTAGGTTATAAGTGTTAGCCTGTTTTTAAGTTATTGCATACTATCTGCATTTTTGCAAAAATCATTAAAGTAGTATAAATTTCAAATGTTAACTCTACCAGAAGTTAAGATACTCTTGTCGTAACTATGTAAATAAAAGATGGGTAGAATAATCTTCTAGATCCTAATGTTTGGATTAAAAATAGATTTAATAACAAGAAAATCAGTGACAACTTTCTAAGGTAATTACATGCAAAATTTGGTACAACGACCCTTACCATCTACACCATGTGAAGGACTAATCTGTTGCACTGAAGATGATGAAGCAAACTTCACAGGAACTGTGTGTGGCTTTGAGGTACTGGGTTCTTCACAGTCGCCAGCATTAATAAAAATCTCAGATGAAAACATGGTCTTTTCTGGACTTTCTGTTGTTATCTGAGTGACAGCATCAGATGATAATTTGCCAGAGGAGGCCGAAAAATGAGGCTTACTCTGTTCTCGTGAACTGAAAAGAGAAGAGATGGCAGATCATATTCTTGGCCATAAATATTTTGCAAACACAGCAATCTCAAATGTTCTTAAGATATTTCCACAATACCCTTCATTTTCTTAGGAACACATTAATAAGTGGTCATGTATTTACTTTTATAATGCATTATATAATTTTACTTGGGAAACAGTACTTTTAGCTTTTTAATTATTAGATGGCCACTATGAAATAAAAGACAGGGTAAATGCCTGGAGTGTTCAAAAAATAAAAAAAGTAATAGTCTTCTCTCAAGGGAAACCAGAAGCTCTCAAATTTATATATATAAATCAAGAGTCAATAAATGGTCAAAATAGATACTAGCTGTCAAATTTGTATAAAGAATTTACAGTAAATGAGAACAGAGCAATAAATGGTCAAAATAAATAATTAAGAAGTAAATGCAATTTTTGCTTTAAAAGAATACTGAATAACACAAGTAGACACCTTCCTACCAAAAGTGGTCATGTTTAATCTTCACCTACCTCCTTGAACTTAGGCTGGAATTAATTGATTTCAAGGAATATTGTATAAGAAGGGAGAAACAGTAACTTCATAGTGAAGAAAACTGGAAAACACTACTTTATCTAAGTGATGAAGGCTGACATCACCAAGGAGGACTTGTTGATATCATATTTCCTATATGATGTAAAAGGAGCACTGTGATATTATTTCCCCAAACCTGAGACCTGCCAAAACCAAATTTAAGAACTACCTAGAAAATACCTAACACTACATTATACAAGGTTATGAAAAGAAAGGAATGACTGACAACTGTCTTAGTCTGTTTGCACTGCTATAACAAATGCTACAGTCTGTATAGTATTTATTATCTATAACAGAAATTTACTGTTCACATTTCTGGAGCATGGGACATACAAGATCAAACCATTGGCAGATTTTATGTCTGATAAAGGCTCTCTTTCTGGTTCACAAATGGTGTCTTTTCTTCATGTTCCCATGTATACAAGAGACTACATAGCTAATTTAAATCTCTTTCCTTATTCATAAGGGTATAAATCCCCTTCATGAGGGACCCACTTTCATGACCTCATCCCTTTCTAAAGACTACATCTCCAAATTTCATCATAATAGGGATTATATTTGGGCATATGAATTTTGGAGACACAAATATTTAGAGCATTGCATTCTGTCCCTGCCCATCAAAATTCAGTCCTTCTTACATACAAAAATCCATTCATTATATCCTAAAGCCTTAATTCACTGCAGCAAAGAATAAAATCAAGTCTAGAGCATTGTCTTAATCAGATATGAATCCATTTAAATTATAATCCACTTAAGGCAAATACTCCCCAGATGTAAACCTGTGAAGTTAAGCCCATTATGTGCTTCCAAACGACAAGGGTAGGACAAACAAGCACAGGATATACATTCTCATTCCAATAGGAAAAAATGAAAGGGAGAGGTGAGAAGGAATGAGTCCCAAGAAAGTCCCAAACCCTAATTCTCAAGAATGGCCCTAACTAAAGGGTTTGCACTAATATCAATTAAAAATGGATCAAACCTCAGACTTGAAACCTTGAAACTACTACAAGGAGTAGGAGAAAACTTAGAACTTATTGGCATAGGCAAAAACTGAGTACAGTTTCAGGGCTCAGCAAATAGACTCCACAAATGGGACTGCGTCAAAAAATTTTCTGCACAGCAAAGGACATAAGCTAAAAAGATAGCACACAGAATGGGAAAAAAATCTTTACCAGCTTATACACCTAACAAGTCCTAATATCCAGAATATATAAGGAGCCTAAGAAACTAAACCCCCTAAAAAATCATAACCCAATTAATAAAAGGGCAAAGGAGCTAAAGAGAGACTTTTCACATAATAATGGCCAGTAAACACCTGAGGAAATGCCACACACTGGCCATACACGAAATGTAAATCAACACAACATTAAGATTTTTATCCCATCACAGTAAGATTGGCATCATCCAGAATATAAACATTAACAAATGCTAGCAGAGATGTGGAGAGAAAGAAACCCTATTTATACTGTTAGTGGGAATGTAAACCAGTGAAAACACTCTGGAAGAAAGTTTGGAGATTCCTCAAAAAACTAAACTATCCCTATCCAGGGATACCACTCTTGGCATGTACTCAAAGTATTACAGGTCAGGATTTAGTAAACACACTTGCACATCCATGTTCACTGCTGCACTGTTCACAATCATCAAGGTATAGAAACAGCCCAGATGCTCAAAGGTGGATGAGTGGATCAAGAAAAGGTACACATATACAATGGAAATTTACTCATTAGAATAATATGACATTTTCAGGGAAACAGAAAGACACAGAAAAAAGTAGGTTAAGTGAAGCAAGTCAGGGTCATAGGGACAAATGGCACATTATTTTCTCTCCTACATGAAAGCTAGATCTAAAATACAAACATATAAAATACAAACATATAAAAAACAAACTGACTATCCATATACTTAAGATAGTCCAAAGACCCAAATTGTTTAACAAAATGAATACCAGGAAGCTGAACCATGTTTGGGAAGATATATGGGAGGGTACATGAATGGAGGATACAATGATGAGCAAATGCAGTCATTATATACAATCTACATTATGTAAATACTGAAGTACCTAACTTAAGAGTAGGGTGAGGGATTGGGGAAAATAATGAAAGGGGTGACATTAATCAAGATGCACTATACTGATAACCTGATGTATAGAATTATAATCTCTTTGTACTACTACTTAATAATGAAATTGTAAGAAAATGTAAGCTGTTAACACTGGATAAGCTGGGGGAAGGCTGTAAGAAACTTTATTTTTAATTAACAAATTAATAATTAATTTATACCAGTACCAGGACTTGAACTCAGGGTCTTGGCTTTCTTGTTCACAGCTGGCACTTAAGCTACCACTTAAGCCACATCTCCAGCCCAGCTTAGAACCACAATCCTCTCAGTCTCAGTCTCCTTAGTTAAGATTACAGGTGTCAGCCAGCAGTGCCTATCAATGGCTATTTCTGAAAATGAGTCTATGTTCCATTACATGGCAACAGTTCTAACACAAACTAGCTCTTCTGTCTAAAAACTACATTTACCAAAATAAAAGAATAAAATTACTATATTTGAAGTTTCCTGAGAGAAGAGGCTAAATACTTAATCCCTGAGGGAGAAGTTCAAAGGTAAGGAACTAAAAACCCATCAGATTCTCAATCAAAAGTCAAAAGAAGGGTTAACACTGTCCAAAAGAAAGAAATGTATTTATTGCCTGACTTATGAAATGGTAGCCCCTCTGTACAACATTAATAGTAACAATAAAATTATTTTTTTAAGCCAAAAGGACCACCATCAAGAAAGGGGCTGGGTTAGAAATAGTAAAATTATTTACAAATCTTACAATGCTTAAGAAATAGATTTCCATTGAAAAAGTGTAACTGGAGCAAATACATAGCATATATTCTAAGACAATAAGGATGGAGAAACTCAAAAGCTGAATTCCAAATAGCTGAAGGGTTCATAGTAATTACTGAAGAATCAAAAACTTATGAAGCAGGAATTATGAGAAAATCAGACAAGAAAAGGGTACTCCAAAAAAATGAAGACCCTGAGACCCTTCCTTCAGAATCATGAAAGGACTTTAAAGTCATTATGAGCTTGCAGTTTTATCTATCTCCTAGCCTAAATTCTCCCTATTTAACTTGAAACTAGTGTCAGTACCTCTAAAGATAGCTAAAGATGTCCTGAAGTGCTGCGGGAGTTGCAGGGGGGTGGGGGTAGGAACGTGCCTGTGTATCCTTTCTTTGCCCTTTATTGTTTCTCTTTATTTAGCATGTGGAAGCAAATAGGTAACATGGGACACATGGATTTGGATTGAGGTCTAAAAACTTGGCAAGCACAAGACTTCAGTCACATACAATAACCTTGAATATAATCTTTCTATAGAAGGATGAACTGCTGCATGGAATCTGAAAGAACTGAGACTCTCAGAGAACAGAGAAACTGAGTGCCTCAGTTCTCCAACACTAGTAAGAACTCAGTACAATCACTAGTTCATCCCACTATCAGGCACATTAGGGAGAAATTTTGAAAGGTGCCACGTGTACCACAGGAGACACAAACAGGTAGATCTGTGGGGCAATTGACCCACAGACTAAATAAAGAGCACTGTGCAATCAACAATAGCTTCCAGTAAACAAAGAAAGGAAGCCTAAGATAGAAATAGCACAAAAGGGGATAACTGATCCTTGACCAGTCCACTCTTAATTCACCTATAATATCAATCTATACATAAGAAAATACAAGATATGCTAGCTATTTCTCATCAATAGGATCTATAGGAGTGGTGCTGGAGGACCAGCCCCCGTGCCCTGAGCACATGGGCAAAAATCTATATACTGAGCTATCCCCCTTGTCTGGAGAACAAAAACTATACTGTATCCCTCCCACAACAAATTCCTTCCCAAGCACTAAAAAACACTTCAGATGCAAGACTATAGGTAATAAAAACTTAAAGAGCAAAGTATTCTAGGATGTGTAAATCTCAACACAGAAACACAAATATGAAAAAACAAGCCAACATGATATCTCCAAAGGTCAACAAAAGACATTACCGATAATGAACAGTAAAAAAGCCTAAAGAACTAAAAAGCATGATCATAAGAATGGTAAACAAAATAAAACAAGACATGTATAAAAAGATAAATAAAAGATGATACAAAGCTGGGTGCTGGTGGCTCACTAATCCTAGATACTCAGGAGGTTAAGATAGGAAGATTGTGGTTTCCAGACTAGGCAGGAAAATACATGAGACTCTTTATCTCCAATAAACTTCTAAAAAGTCTTAAGCAGAGCTGTCACGCAAGAGGTAGTATGCTAGCCTTGAGCAAAAAAAGCTTAGGTATGAGTAGCCAAGCCCTGAGTTCAAGCCCAGCGCGCGCGCGCGCGCGCACGCGCGCACACACACACACACACACGTGCACACATGAATACAAGCAGCTTAAGGA